TTTTTTTTTTTTTTTTTTTCCGTCTTTGCTTATATTGTCTGTATTTTCTGTGGGTGTCATTGTCAGGTTTTGGGTCAAGTTTTCTTCCAAAGGAGGAGAGTGTAACTGCAGCTCCTGAGGTGGAGGTCAGTGAAGACTACCAAGCCAGCAGTCAGGTTAGTATTTATCTGAAACCTACATTATTTCTGACAATCACAATTTAATATGATTTATAGATTTAAGATCCAACACAGAGCTTCACTGTTTCATACTGGTATGGACACAAGTAAAATGACCAAACCAAAACTATGATGACCTGAGTCCAATGTCAGATTTATCAATTATTCTTTAAAGCAGATGTGGCACTTTGCTGTCTATGTAATTCTATTATCTGTTTGACTTTAGGTTTTCCATGAGTGCTTCCTGAATCCCTGTCAGAATAAGGGAACTTGTGAGGAGGTGGGAGCGGGATACGTCTGCACCTGCATGCCCGGGTTCACAGGTAAACCAGCAGTCAGACTTTTACATCGTCAGGTACCTCAAGCCCCCCTGTGTAGAGCATCAGGTCACAGATACAGCTGAGCCTCCTTCTGATTATAGTTTATACAAAAAATAAATCTGCTCCCAAGAAAGTGTTTGATCCCAAACCACATGTATCTGCTATCTAGGTTTTCTGACTCACTCATACATACACCATGTGGTCTGTGATTAGTATCAGCTGGGAGGCGTGAAACAGATTACACTGATTAATCATCAAGACTTTATCATGTGCAGATTTCCAAGGTTTGAAATAAAAAGAAATTCAATTCATGATAAAGACACATGATACACTTTCCTTCCGTTTTATTCTCGACAGCGTGTTTCCTGTCATCAGCTTCCTCTCATTATGCGACACGATCTTTACCACAGCCGTCTTGTATGTGACAAGTGCTTGATGCAGCCTCTGATATTCGTCTCTCAGGTGCAAAGTGTGAGGTCGATGTAGACGAGTGCGACTCTGCTCCTTGTCAGAATGGAGGCCTGTGCAAGGACGGCATGGGAGACTTCCAGTGTCAGTGCAAACCAGGATTTTTAGGTATGGATGCAGTTGGGAATTTAATTCATAATGGTAGATGAACATAAAACGTCAGGGTGTGGAGTACAAAAACACTTACAGTAATTAGTGACCATAGTTCAAGCCTGATGCTCATATTTAAAAGTGTACTCTCCTTTTGGTCACGTCATTTGCTGCCATTATCTCTTTTCAAAGTGCACTATGAATCCTGGGAGAGGTTGGCCCGAGGGGAATCCATCAGTATTTGTTTATTCGTTGGCCGTGTTTAAAAGAGTCTAGTCGTGCCACCGTGACGCAATCGGCTTTCAGAATATCCATTTTTCAATTTTAATGTGCAAAGAAGAAGACCTGTGACATTTGACGGTTTGAAATTGTGTAATGTTTCAAAAATTCCATGAAATATCTTGTAGACACGAGCCAAAAGGTCGGTGGTTTGATCCCTGGCTCCTCCGGTCTGCTTTCCAAAGTGTCCTTGGGCAAGATGCTGAGCCCAAATTGCCCCTGACAGCTGTGCCGACAGTGTGTGACAGAAAAACCGCAGCATACAGCAGTGCTTCATGAATGTGTGTGTGTGTGTGTGTGTTTGGGCCATTGTGGCTTGTACTGTAAAGTGCTCTGAGTGGCTGCTATATAAATACAATCCATCTACTGTAATAAAAACTTTTCCCATAAAAACGATCACAACCAAAAACTTCTACACATGAAATCAAGATCAGACTTTGAGAAAAATGTAGAGAACATGATGAATCATAATAAAATTATAAGAGAGATATGTTGAGGTTTTTTTAAGCCCAGACATACTTTACACAGTACACCACAGATATTCATTACATACGTGTTGTATAAGTTAAATGTACTGAACCACAAACAGGGTTCTGACTTGATTTTCTGTCCCTGTCTGTCTCTGAACTTTCTCCTCCGATCGTCTCAGGGCATCTATGTGAGGCGGAGGTCAACGAGTGTGTCTCCTCCCCGTGTCTGAACGACGGTGTTTGTGTGGACGAGGTCAACAAGTTCACCTGCAGCTGTGTCGGCGGCTTCACAGGTTTGATCCCGAGACGATGTCACACTTTCGTTCTAGAGTTCATGTCCTCATCAGCAGGACATAAACTATGCCATGTCTGTCTTCTACAAAAGAACGTGTGAGAACAGCAGATTGACTTTTTCCCTTCCCTGCAGGATCTCGCTGTGAGCTGGAAATAAACGAGTGTCTTTCCAACCCCTGTCTGAACGGAGCCGTGTGTGAGGACATGACGGGCGGTTACACCTGTAATTGTGCTGTTGGCTTCTCGGGGGATAGCTGTGAGGTTAACATCGACGAATGTTACAGCGCCCCCTGTCTAAATGGAGGCTCGTGTCTGGACGCCGTCAATAATTTCAGGTAATCGAAATTCTGATGGAAAGAAGCAGCTTTGTTTAGTTTTGTGTTCTTGATTGTGTAACTGTGCCGCCCCCTCTCCCCCAGGTGTCAGTGTGTGGAGGGCTACCGGGGCCGGCTGTGTGAGGTGGATGTGAACGAGTGCGTTCCGAACCCCTGTGTGAACGGAGCCAGCTGCCTGGATGGTCTGGGGTCCTTCACCTGCAGCTGCCTCCCTGGGTTCAACGGAACCAGGTGTGAGACAGGTACTATAGGACAGATGGCACATCACCATGGAAACCACAGAGGAGGAAGAGAGATATAACGGATGAAAATGTTTTTTTTGGGTCATTTCCATGTTTCTACTTTTTTAATAAACCACATTAAATATACTATTGTGTAAAAACCTTATTGTAATATGATAAGGTTATTTGAAATTGGTGTATTGTGCCAACGGAACAACATTAAAATATTTATGAAACCATTTAATGGATTTCTTCCCATTTTCACAAGGATGGGTAATCATCGACCATCGAAGGATTTCACTTAATCCCATAATATGTTTTGCTTTTAGAAGACGTCGGGTTCTCTTGGTGTTTCATCCAAAACAGAAGGAGAAAAAAACTAAATAACAAAATGTTTTTGATCTAGAAATATATTTTCTTCCCTTTAGTTGTCTTGGGGTCCTCGGTAAATGTTTATAGATGATGTTTCCCTGTTTCTTAGGTGAACAATGATTGATTTTAGGTAAAGACAAGGGTAGCTACTAAATATCTAATTAGAAAGTATTGATTATTTTCTGCTCTGTCCTATTAGAGATGTCCTCTGCTTTCAACCTGGACTTTGAGGTGTCGGGTATCCACGGTTACGTGATGATGGACAGTGTGATGCCGGCGCTCACAGAGATCACCTGTACCTTCTGGATGAAGTCATCAGACACCACTAATTATGGCACACCGGTGTCCTACGCTGTGGAGGGCAGCGACAACGCTTTCCTGCTCATAGACTACAACGGGTCAGTGGTACACCGGGAGATAAATACACTTAACGAGGTTCTGTTAAATTAGTGCGTGTGATATGTTAATGTTTTATCATTGTGTTTTATAATTTACATTTCCTAGCCCCTCATTTCTATTGCTTTAAATCCCCTCAACCATATTGTCCCTCTTCCCACGGCCACCTCCATATAGGTGGGTTCTGTATGTGAACGGTAAAGAGCGGATCACCGACTGTCCTGCAGTGAACACGGGTCACTGGTACCACATCGGTGTGTCCTGGAGGAGCTGGGACGGTGACTGGAGAATCTACATCAACGGGAAGCCCTCGGACGGAGGCAAAGGCCTGTCAGTCGGCACCACTATCCCAGGTGTAGTGCTATCCTCGGCCTGGTTACCTGCCCAGTAATCATTTCCTTGATACAGAAGACAAAGGGTTAATTTTCTCAGCGAGCAGAAGTTAATCTCTGGGTTTTCCCCGTCTGTCTTGTAGGTGGCGGAGCACTGGTGTTAGGTCAGGACCAAGACCAGAGGGGGGAGGGCTTCAACCCCGTTGAATCCTTCGTGGGATCCCTCAGTCAGCTCAACATCTGGGATCGTGTTCTGACCCAACAGCAGGTACACATAAAATATCCACTGATGTATTTATACCTTTAAAGCATGATTCATTTGAGGTATTTTCCAAATTAAACTTAGACACATGCAGGATTTATGAAATGATTAAACACGCTGTTTAAGATTCTGTCTCTGAAACCAGGTGATTTAAAATAACAATAACAGGAATATTGATGTGAATTTGATTGAATATGTTTTACTAGATCAAGGTGCTGGCCAGCAGCTGTCCGGCTTCGCATGTGACCCACAGGGGGAATGTGCTCGCCTGGCCAGACTTTCTGAACGGAGTGGTTGGCCGAGTCAAAGTGAACAGCAACAGTATTTTCTGTGCTGGTAAGAAATCAATACGAATGTCAACAAGTCAATGACCCAATTTTGCTGGATTACATTTTCCATTGTGGCTGTTAATCACGTACGAGAACAGTGTATGATATCCACCTGTAGGTGGCGTTGTAATCCTGCATTTAAACTCACAGTGGCTCTGAATCCACCATACCTGTGTCTCCAGACTGCCCCAAACTGGAGAGTGCTGTGCCTCACCTGCTCGCCTCTACTGTGGAGGTGAGCCCCGGAGCGCAGGTCCAGCTGTCCTGCAATCCCGGTTTCTACCTGGTGGGGGAGCCGGTGCTGCAGTGCCAGAATAAAGGAGAGTGGAGCCACCCGTTGCCGAGCTGCGAACGTAAGACTCGATTTGTTTTGGAAATCACCTGTAATCTGATCCTGTTCTTTTTGTTCATGGTGAATATGAAGTCATACCAGTCAGTCCTTGCAAAGGGATTTTTTTTATAGGAATG